AATTGGTATCTATCACAATTGTAGTATATCCTGCAGCAATTCTAGAATGCGAAGGTGGTGTCACCTTTTTCGTTGCATGTGAGGCATTTTTCTTGGGATTTTTTACGAAAATTGATGTGTTGAGGAACCTCGAGGACCCTCACGAGTTAGGGGCCTGCAAATTGCCTATTTTTTTCTGCCCGGCCCGGCCCGCATCTAGGGTTAAAATTTTTTTTCTGGCCGGGCCGGGCTGCGGGACCCAATGCAGGCCTCTATCACGAGTTGCAGCTAAAAGATTCTCTAATTCTTGTTTGCGAGACTAAATAGAATAGGTAACGCAATATCATGTATATAGCGTGAAGATTTATATAAATATTTATATAAATAAAGACACACTTTCAATTCCATAATCCATTCATCGTCTGACTCATTGTGATCACTAATGTATTCATTATTGGAAAAATCTGTAGATTTCGTTGTAACCGGACTAGTTTCATCATCTTCAGTATATAAATTTGAAGGATGATCATTTTCCTTGTCAGATGTTTCATCAAATAATTTTAAGGAAGATGTAAAAGTGATATCTTCAATATTAAAATCTAAACCAATGATGTTCTGTAAAACCATATATATTAAACAATAAATATTACTTTCATCATTGATAAAGGAAAAATGAATAAATTATATGAGTAAATGAAAGAATTAAATTACCTTAGTTAATAGATAACTCAATTCCATAATCCTTGCTCTATGGCGACTTTTAGAATCTTGATCAGAAATCAGATTCAAATCATCATTAATATTATTTATGACAAGTTTAATATCATCATCCACAAATTTTATATGTGGTTTAGGTACATGTTCAAACATATAAGGTTCTTAAAGTGACTGAGCAAGAAATGCCACGTAATTCCCAATCTTCAGTTAATGGAAGAGGATGAAGACGATCTATAGAATTTGAATCTTCAATATTTGATGGAAATTCTATAATTTCTTTTATGATAAATGGAGATACTTTATGGGTAATTTCTGTGAGGAATCGAACCAAAGTATCCTAAAGTCTGGACAAATAGATTTGCCCAAAAAGTTTCTCCAAATACAATTATTAGATTTTTCTGCAAAGTTATTAAAAGCATCATTTTCTACCATCCAAAGTAACACGATCACATAATATAAAAGCAAGCCCTCAGAAACATCGACTTCGCCCTGAAACGATATAGAGTCAAGATATTTATACATGAATTAATACATGACAGTAAAAGTGAGCCTAGATTCTTCAGCAAAGGTTGGATCTAATTCTAGAATTTGATTAAAATCCATATTAGTTGATGTGGTTAACCTGAGAGAAGAATTTTCGATATTGCCATAATTGTATTAGCTTGATATATTAATAACCACCATTCGCATACAAAATTCCAGCCACCTTGTCCCATTTGTATCATTATAACTCTGAATATCTTTCAATCTGAATAATTTATCTATAAATATTTCTAAATTCTGATCAAAAAATTCAAGACCAACTTGGTAAAAATCATTCCATGTAATCTGATATACAAGCTCTCAATTGATTATTCAGATTATCACATCGTTTATTTGAAGAATGTAAAGTTTCACGTAGCATATAAGTACGGCTTTTTGCTTTTGTTTGTTATGAGAGTTGCAAACCGTTTACGATTTGATTCGAATGACCAAATAAGTGGCTCACGAGCGGCCATATAGGGTGTATCAACCATAAGGCTTTAAATGAAGTATGAAATTGTTATAATAATGAATAATAATGAATGAATAATATAACATTCAAAGATTACACTAATAAATATATATGCGCACCTTCTACAATAATAATATAACGTTTTAAACTCATCTTGTCCCGCGAGAATAACCAAGTGATTATAAAGTTTTCCTAGGAATAAATAAATATAAATATATATAAAATATAAAGTTTAACTACAAGTAAAAGTATTAAATTATTATACCATTATTAGTTTTGAGCAGAATCCCTAAACGATACCATTGAGATGCATCCTCTGCCCAGAATTGTTTATTCTTTTCTTGATCTTCCGAGCAATATGACCAATGATATCTAGCAATGTCCCCAAACAACCTATACAACGTATCCACCTTGGAGGTTTATTGCTCTCCACATCCTTGTTACTAAGTTTCGAATTTTCAAAAATAAGTTATGTTTTATAAAACATTTCAGCTTAATCTAAAAAGATGTTAAATTGACTTAAAATAACAGTAGATGATGGTAATGAAGATTGACGTCTTTCCAAAGAAATTGCTTGACAAAATTGTTCAATTAATGAGTAAACCGCAATTTTCAATATCTTTGATTCAATATCATGTTTCACAGCCGAAGAGTAACTAAGATGAATATATTCACAATACTTTTTGGCCAATCCACAATTACAAAGATTTAAATTTAAATTCAAAAATGAAGGGAAGAAAAAATGAGACTATTCCTCAATGCATACTTTAAGTGAGAGTTAATCTTAATTTGCTAATAACTTTCGCCCTGAAGAGTGAAACAGTTTCATCAAGGGTTTACCAGGAACGGAGTATATAATAGGTAGGGTATGGTTTGATGGTGTTATGGGTAAATCCGACCCTGGGACTATGAGGAATAAACGTGTAACGACCCACGAAATGCATCATGAAAACCGTCGTACCACATGCCCGCGACCCAGGATAAATCAGGTTCTCCATTAAGTGACAGCGCAGATCCCATTGAAGAAAAGCCACCCGCCCAATTTGGAATGCATCTGTCAAGGTAATACAGGCCATGTCAATGTGTTGTCATATGTTGGGTTGTGTGTCGTTGTGGAAGGATTGAAAGTTCAATGGAAAAATCTAAAGTAACGATGGATGGGTTGTAGGAAAAAGGGAAAAGTGTTAGCAAATAAGGGTAAGACGGCATATGACAATGAGATAAAGAGTGTCAAAGCCGTGTTCGAAACTCTCTTCTTTTTCCCTTGTAATTCTCTATAAATATGGTTCGCATTCCCCTCTTGTATCAGATAACAGAGAACACCGAATTATCCCTAAAATACCGAATCACCTTTCAATTACAGACCTGCTCTAAATAAAATAAAACAAAGCTTATAATTAATAAAAGTTCTAAAAAGTTTAAAAAATTATAATAATAATAATAATAATAATAATAATAACAATAATAATAAAACCATACGCTCCTTAAACCGTTTTACATTACCATCCGAAGCTCCCTTGTAACGTTCTCAAAAGCCGCCTTTGACCAGAGCCAAATCGAAACCGCCTCACCTGCTTTTGAGTGACGTTACGCGACGTCAACGTTTCCGAAGCGACAATTCGTCGCATTCCTTCTTGTCCTAGTGGTGCCGTTCCCGATCTGTCAGCCCGTATCAATGGCAAGTTAAGTGGAGTTCGCAAATCTGAGTATCTGATTGGATGTTCCTATCTTGTGACTTCGTGTGCTTACCTAAATTTGTGTTATATTATTCGATTTATCGTGTGGCTTTTATATCTATTGTATATACGTCGTCGTTTTAATCATGATTTCGTTGGAATTGTCAATTATTATTATGCCTCGTAATATTTTTTTAACATTCGAATTTAGTTAGAATAAACAAGATGGTGAATCATTTGGAAAATTTTTTTATTGGATGAATTTTTGATCATACAAAGCAAACGTTTGCTTTGAATCTTTTTGTTTCATACATGCTATATATGGTCATAAAATTTATTTGTCCTTCGAGGATCTGCGCCACCATACGTTATGGTCTGTCCCGGTCCGGTCTTGGTCTAAAGACCGGTCCTAGCAGAAGACCGTAGTCCAGGACCGTCTATAAACTGATCCATAGCACGGTCTATTGGCTGGTTTTCAAAGTAAGCTATGTGGTTTTTAATGTCCACTACGTAAAAAAAAAAGACGAATTAATTAATGTTAGCATTGCCAAGTATGAAACTTTAAAAACTCGTTACAAATTTTATACCGATATCTGTTGTAACATCATTTTCATTTTTATATTTAAAAATGATCTAAAATTCTGTATCTCCCATTTCAGATTTTTGACTTACAGCATATAAGTCATGCGCATATAAGTATTCACAGATCACAGTTTAGATCATCGGAATGATCGAATCGACAACTTACTGAGACAAATCAATAAGTTGAACCTTATAGATTCGGTCATCGGCAATTTTTTTTCTTTTTTTTTTTTTACAGCTGGTTCGATAAGTTATTGATTTCAGCATGATTAGTGCAACGTTTATTATTTATGGAGATAGGCTAAAGACAGGTATGTGCGTACATACGTATGTACATGGGTTTTAAATTGGTTACTAATGGATTTGTAAATTGAAACTCGGATGGAATATATAGGCTTTAAATGACCTCTATTTACAGTGCAACAGTAACAATTATTAATTGATAATGATAACCAATATCGATATAACTCTGAAACATATTCGTTATAAGTTCGAATAATTGTTAAACACTTAGATATTAGCAATTCTTCAATAATCAAATTTTAAAGATATGGATATAGTGAAAGACTACTGCCACCTGTAATAAAACAGTCTATTAAAGCTGAATGATATAATGTATATAAAATATTTTAAGACTTTAATTGAAGAGAAGCCTGACTGGTATTTTTGTTATAGGTGGAAACGGAATTTAATTGGATTCGGAATATTTACATAAAACCCGCATTTTGGGGTTGATTTTGTCATGTATACACCCTAACCCTAACCCCAAATCCATTCCTACTTATGACATTTTATGAGTTACAATATGAGTGTCACTAAGGGAAAACCAGCAATTCTAAAAATAGATTTATTATGAATTTTAAATAAAATTATTTTTAGAATTGCGGGGTTTTCCTTAGCGACACTAAATTCAAATGTATAATACAGTAACAAGTATACGTATGAAAATTGATTTTTGTAAGCTAATTACATCATTAATATTTAAAGAAAAATAAACAAAAATTATCTTTCACTATTATTGGCTACAACCATGCCTAAAATCAGTGTTGTCACTTGGAAGTCTACTGAAAGTAAATCGACAATATCACTGAAACTTAAGTTCCAATAACACTATTGATTTATTTCCAGTAATCTACCAAGTGACAACATTGTTAAAAGTACTGAATTAATCACAAAATTTTTAAGGATACTGTACGTACATAGTTTTAGATTATCTCCGTAAATAATATATAGTTATTAGATGCAAAGCAGCCAACAACAGAATTATTTGCAAAATGATTTATTTTATCTGGCTGCGTACATAGCGTCCAATAACGGTTTTATCGGGTGGCTTACTATGATCGAACCCACAGAATAATTCGATCATAATAAGCTGTCGGATAATAATCGTTACATTAATCATGCCGAAATCAATAACTTAGCGAATCAGCTGAATAATCAGTCGGCTAATTTTTCATAAAGTGTCCCAGGAATAAACAGCTGTAATCAATAAGATCATTCTATAAGCTATGGGCCAGTCCTCGATTTATGACTGAAAACCGGTTGGACTGGTACAAAAGACCGGATCACGGTCTTTGCAGGACATAACATCCATATACATCACATGTCTAATAGTGCACAATCTATGTATTTACTAAATGCAATACCGATACTCACGTCTCCCGTTCCTGGTTTCGCGTGACTGAGTCGCGCAGCTATCTTATTAATATTTATCGAGAATTGATTGGAATTTTTAGATATTTGTTTCTCCTTTGACACAATTTTCGCGGAAAGTAATTTTATACTTTACGCGATCTCTGTTAGCACTATCTGTTATTGAGAGATTATTAGAGGACTTTAACTTTATGTCAGTCATTCTTCAGTAACATAAAAGCTGTTTACAGATATAATAGATCACCATTTAGAGTTAAGTGTGAAAAGAAAGCATGACTGTGTTAAGTCACTTGATCTTAAATACGTAACAGCTCAACTTTTTTGGGTGCGATTTTAAAATCACCATTCTAAAAAATTTCACTAGTCAATCAAATTTCGAGAACAAGACAGGCCATGCAGCCTGCATAGCCTCAATCCCTAGAGACTTTTGCTCATTAGGTTTCGCGTTTATATATATAAAACATCTACTTTACATGTATAAAGTTGAGCTCCCATCATTTTTAATTGGTGCTCCAAGGTTAGTTTAGACGTCAGTTTTCGTTTTTTTTGCGGTTTTCACTTTTTTTCTGAATTCTGATCAAATTTGCAGATCATTTGGCCAGATCTAGAACATAACAACTTTAAATGTGGTCAAATGATCTGCAAGTTTGACCAGAATTATGAACGATATTAAACAGGTGATACAGACCCGTCGTGTTTTGTTTTTCTTTAGGGCCGATCCGGAATGCTGAATTATGAAAATTGTACTGCGCAGTCAGTCTCAAAAAATGCCTGCGCAGTGTCTTATCTCTAACCCTAACCCTAACCATAACCTAATAGCGAAATGGGTTTTCTTAGAGAAATTTTTTTCCTTGGTTTCGCATGATGTACGAAATTTTTTAGACTGGTGATACTAGGTTCATGGTTCAGGTTGGCCAAATTTGTGTTTTCCCCTATGATTTGGCCTAAAAATATTGAATTGCATATAATCAACGTAAATCGATATTTTTCACTGTTAGGTACGTAATCGGTGCTTAAATTTATTTGCCAACGTTGAACATTTATATATTTATATGAAAAATGTAATGACGATATTCTGATTAATACTACTGTACATATAATATAGCAATAGGTTGAATGTTTTTTTTCTAATATTTCTAAGATGGATAACACACCTTTCACAAACTTGTTCATCCAGGTTAAGTATAAAACCCTTTTTTTTATTTCAAAATAATAAAAAACATGTTTCGAGTATTTATCGTGTAAATGAAAGCAGAAAAGAAATCGTAATGGCCTGTGAAAAAATTAATGAGCAATAAAGAAGTGCAGTACATAATGAATCTCAAGATAGTTGTAGATATTATTTGAATAGTTAACGAATTAGAAAAGCGTGACGCAGATGAAGTCAATTTTCTTAGAAAGATGAATGCATTGTTTTTCTAAAAGTTTATTATCGTATGTATTGTTCTTTAAATTTTCTAAACTTAGTATTGATTTAGGTACAATGGAATTCGCAAAATTCTTTTATTACGGAAAGAATCAAGCATTGAAGATTATGAATTAGAAAAAGAAATGCAAAAAAAAAAACCGAAATATAAAAAATTTTTTTATTTATTAGTTACATTTAAATGAATATACATACATTAATTAATATAATATAAAAAGTTTAATAATCCTTCGAAACAAAAAAAGGTTTCAAAGTATTGAATCAAATTTCGTACTTATTCAAAAAATAGATGAAATTTAGGTTTTCGAATGAGCAAAAAAAACTTTTCTACAATATTAAACTTAAATTTAAAGTTTTTAAAATAAAATTTTGATGTAAATATATTTTAAGCATTCGAATAAACAAAAAAAACTTTAATTTTTCGATAATCCCGTGATTTCATTTCATAAGTCATATGCTGATGTTCGGATCGAGTGTACCTGATTTTGGTAGCGATACTAACCTTAAAAATTCCGATGGCCAATCAGATTTTAGATCAGGTGCTACGTAGAAGAAACACAAAATCAAAACAAAAAATCGTTCATAACTCAAATATTTTACCTATGAAATCACCTTCTGCCATTAACAAAAAGATTTCATTGCAAAAGTTGACATTAGATAAACTCTTCATTACCTAAATTAATAGCAAATCTAACCTTAATCTAGCAGCGAAACTTTTTTAGCGAAATTTTTTAGGTTGGTAACGCTAGGACAGTTGCTAACTTCATCCCATGGGATTTGATTTTTACAAATACTATACCAACTATGTGACAAACATCCGGCTTTTTAATATTTTTTAAAAAAATTTCTTGATGCAACTTAGCTAAAAAAGCATTTATTTCAATTCTACACAATTTTACATTATTTATGGAATTTATTTTAATGAATCGATTAGATAGTTATTGAGCAAATGTGTTTAAAGTTTAAAAATATAATTGTCAACCAAATTTGAATAATGAAAAATTTTCAAAAAAATAAACTTATTAAATTTGACTGGATAGACCTTCGTTTAATATCTATTATTTTAAAAAGTAACTACTGCAGATTTTGTGCAAGGGTGCCGATAACTACATAGTAAGATTCAATGAAATCTTTTTAGATGAAGCAGGACTATTATTGTAATGCGAAATCATTTTGGGCAATGGCGAAAGACGGCTAAAGACAAAAGATAAAGCCTCCTGGCGAAACCCTGAAGAAACCCCGGCGAAACCCTGGAGAAAGTCAAAACTCAGCGAAAACCAAATTCTCAAAGACTTTGGAAATGACAGAGTCATGTTGGTGAATGAAAATATTTTGCGCGTGGCTATTAAACACAGCATGTGGCTTATATAAACAAAGAGATTGTTTTTCGAGTACTATTAAAAGAAAACTAGACTTCATGCTTTTGAACTTATAATTAAATCAACTCATCCTTGAAATTCAAAGCCTGAAATCTTGTCACGTAATAAAAAACATTTGTCATCCTTAGTGTTTGCCTGGACCCAAAATTTTGTTATCGTTATTAGATAGCTGACAATTTTTGCATTGATATTTAAATTATAACCTGGTTATAGAGCTATGAATTTTTCTAATGGCACAATGTATAATTTCATTACCTCGATATTGACGTAAATTTAGGGATGGGTATATAATCTAGCCATTTTATTAATAATTTGTTATACTTTAAAGGCCTAAAAAATATATTAAAAATTTGTTAAATCAGTGAATCCAGTGTAAAATTGAGTTATCGATAGTTGATCGTAATAACTAATAGATGCATTTATTCAAATTTATTATGGACTATAAATTGTATTTAATGTGAATAGATTGTAATGTAAAAATTTTTCTTAAATTGATGATGTAGAATGAAGGTAATATTCGAAAAAGAAGTTATTAATTTTAAAACAAACTTGTATTAAATTTTAAAAAAATCTTTTCGAAAATATATCCATTATATAAATTGTTGAATTTTAATAAGTTACAAAAAGTGCAAAATCAGTTAAGAAAGAATGAATGAAATGTCATAACAAAAAAAAAAAAAAAAAAAATGCAAAAAAAAGATTTATATCTACAAAGATACAAAGTCTATAAATATTTATAATATGTATAAAAGTACAAGAAATACAATATATCCATCCAATATCATTGTGCCGATTTATGTACCACCAAAAAATGAGGCCAGAGACAATGTTGATACCCGTTTTTCATTTTTTGGCCTTAGAGTTGGTGATTTTGGAGAAAGATCATCGTTATAACCATTTACCAAATGTCTTAACCCATCTAATTGATTTCCCAGAGATTCTTTCGCTTCTTCACTTTGAGCCAATTTCATTTTTACGTTTATTAACATTTTCTCCAATTCATCAATTCTCTTTGCAGTATCACATTCCCCATTACATGTTGTGACAATCTGAAATTCTTCGTTTTCCATAGCTAAGTTTTGAGGCAATGAATATATCGATGATATTGATTGTGACTCACTATCCCTTCTTTTTGATCTTGATGCGTCATCCACATTTTCGACGAAAAATTCAAACAATGTACTATGTTTAGGTGCGTCATGTAACGTATTTTTGTTTGATACATTTTGTTCCACTTCTTTTTTTAGTTTCTCGATTTCTTTGAGTAATTTTCCATTTTGAATTTTAATTTCTCTGGCTTCTTTCACTTCAAATTCCATAGAATTTTTTTCGTATACTGCTTGTGCTGCCTCTTCATCAAGTCGTTCAATTTCTACTAATAGTGAGATATTTTTTTCTTGTAATAAAATATATTCTTGTTTAGATAGTTGTAAAGTACTTTCTAAGTCTTCATTACGTTTAAGTAATTCCTCATTCTCTTGTAATAAATCGAATTTTTGCATTTTGACTTTAATAAGTTCTTCAGCAAGAGCTGTAATGTTTGGATTTTGTTCATGGCGTTCATCTGACAAATCAATTGTATAGAATTCAGAAGAGTTTGGTGTTGGTGGTGTTGTATTTAAATTAGTATTATTTATTGATTGAATGGAAGAGATTGATGACGATGAAGAAGTCGATGAGGATAAAGCATGTGACTTTGGTATGAATGTAGAAGCTTTTGTCAGCATGTCTGGACGAGGTGTTAATTCAGAATCTTCTAACCGAGATATATCACTTAAAGTTGTAGAATCGATTGAAAATACTACCGAATTTGCTGATAATCGTTTGTTCTCTTTTTCAACACCTCTTAACCGTGATCTTAACCCTTCAACTTCTGTAACCAAATCCATTTTTTCCATCTTTATGCAAACTAATTGTTCAAGAACGTCTGCATGCTCCTTTTGAAGTTGGGATAATGCCGTCACTAAATCTTCAATTTGTGTATGTAAAAGTCCGGTGTTATTGCTATCAAATGAAGTGGTCGTAGGCGTTGAAGAAGAAACTATTGAATCATTATCTGAGGAAATTGATAAATCATTGGATACACTTGTAGTTGGTACATCATTTGATATATTTGTAACTGATTGGAAGGCGGCGGCAGATTGCTTGGAACTTGGAAGTGCAGTAAATGACCACCGATAATTGGGTTTGTCACGTTTTTGTGGTTTCTTAACTTCTTCTTTCTTTTCCTTTTTGGGTGCAGCAAATCTTCCATTGAATCTAACAGCAACTAATTTTTCTGAACGTTTCTTTTGATCTTCTAAATCTTTCACGTAACTCTTAGAAAGTTGATCCAATTTTGCCTTTGTTATCACTGAACTTAATGCCATAGCATCCTTAATAAGTCCGGTTGGTTTGTTATCGTATGCTTCGTATAACCTAGATGTGAGAAAATCTAAAAGATCTTCAAATTCTTCATACGAAAGTAAATTATTTTCATTTTTCTTTAATAATGCAATTGCTACACGCATAATTGTTTCAGGTGCACCTTCAGCAAATATTATATCATAAATACGAAGTACCAATGGCAAAGGGTAAGTATAAGCAAAAAGTGATAAGAACCACTGTGAAGCAAACATTGCAGGATGTATAGCATGGTGTTGAAAGTGTTCATGAAGTTTTGGAAGAATTTGTGCGAGAAGTGCTGAGAATTGATAAAGTCGGAGCTGAAGTCCTTCCATGTTGAGTGTAAACATAGTCCTCATATCATACGTTTCCATTATACTATATTACAAAAATATGATGTAAGGCTGTAAGATTCGTGATAATCAATAATATTTATATTTAGTTAAATATTTAATATGATAATACTTACCGAACAAATACACAAAATGCTTGTGCTTCAGTCATCTATCATAACATAAAAAAAAAACATTATCACGCATATAAATATGAATTACATTAAAAATTACGTGTAACAAAAATTAGCATTATGATGCGAATACTTACGTTCATTAACATTGGACCAACTAAAAATCCAAGCCCTTGACAATATCCGACCAATGGATCATACAAACTGTACGCCTTTAATATATTCCATAAACCAGTCTGCCCTTTGCCATTTTCTTCTTTGAACATATCTATATGCGGAAACGTTCGTGCCAAATCACGTTCAATGATTTTATCGTAAGGTGAAGATTCGGATAATAATTGAGAATACATTGTTTCCAGATATGTTGAAGAGGCTTGGCACATTGATTGCCAGACCAACCCTCTTAACTTTGGAGGTATACCAGATTGTAATTTTGCTGTAAGAAGTTCTGGAAGTTTTGTGGCCACAGAAGTGTAATCTTGAATCAATGCAGACCAAAAATCCCAATCCGTGATTTTTTCATTTGGAAGGATTTCATCACCTTCGATAGCTGGATTTGTACTATCATCTATGAGTGATTGTATGGTCTCGAAATTAGCTTTGAGAGCATTGGATTGAATGCATATTGATTTTGGATCATTATCCAAAAGTTGATTTTGTCGTTCAATACGAGCTAAAATAAATTCAACAGAATTCTATATATTCAAAAGAAACAAGATAGATTAATGGTAAATGAAAATTTATAAAATAAAAGATATGTCAAGTACTTACCTGTTTAGGTAATAAAGAATTTTGTTCTTCTAATTTAGCGAGCAATCCTCTATCAAGTTCACCTTTTGGTAAAGCGCCAAGAACTGTTGTAGTTTTCCCAACATATTTTTTCACATCCTTCCAATGATTTTGTTTAGGAGTGATTGATGTGAACGATGAATGTACTTGTTTTTTTGAATCTTCAGAGTTCAAATCATTACCAAGACTATCTGATTTGATTTGAGAAGATTCGGAATTAAGTAATTCTATATTATCCCGTGTTGCAGTTATTAAACCAGAATGCGGTGATGATATTGTTGAACTTTGATCATTGTCACTATTTTTTGGTTTGAAGACTAGGTTTAAATTTGTTGGAGCACCTGGCCTTCGTTTTAATAAATTTTCAGTACCCCCTGATTCATTATTTGAATTTCCAGTTTCAACCGGTTTGTCTAAATTATCATTTGAAATTGAAAGTTGTGAGTCGTTTGTACTAAGAATAGCTTTAGTATTTGTTGAAAATTTGGTATCCAGCCAAATAATTTCATCATTAATTAAAGTTGCATTATTTTCTTGTGCCTCAGAAGCATTTTCGATGGAAAGGTTTTCAGACTCATTAATTTCATGTTTTTCGACCTTATCAGAGTTTAAGTCGAGTGGTAGGTCATCTGAACGTAATACTGTGAGTTCTTCTCTATTATCAAATGAGACATCCGATTGTAGTGAACTTTTTCGCATTGCTGATAATATTTTGTTCTTATTTTTACATACAGAAGTACGAGATTTACGAAAGAAAGGCGGAGTTTCTGAGTTTATCTGAGCTCGGTTGTACTGGGGAAAAATATGAATTAATTCTGTAATTAATCACTACACGTTTTTTACAGTTTAATTGGATAAATTATAATTAAATTGACGATCTTATAAACTGAGATACAAACAATAACCAAATATAGAACCCAAAGATAATTGTCGTACTGCCATGCATTTCCTATTTGTGTGAAATTTATGCTATGTAACAGATTCTAATAAATTCTTACCCACGATATTCTAATGGATTGGCTCGTGAATTTTATTTAAGTCGTGTTAAAGTATAATAACAACAATAATAACTGTCAATAATCATACCTTTCCTTTTCGACAGCCGTTTATTAAGTCGGAAGAGTCGGAAGATTTGCTAAATTTAGTTATATTACATGCATATTTTCAGCCTTCAGGAGGATAGATTAGGAAACGTTTCAAAAATATGTTTGAAACCAGGTTATGATAAACATTTACGTATTACTGTATTATGTATTTGAAAATCCTTTTTTTTTTTTTTGATTTTTGATTTTCTGGATTAATAAAGAGCCGACAATGTCATCAAAGGTTACAATCATAAAAATGTTTTTCGAAAGTCATATAGTCACATGATTTTTCATTTTTTTTTGCTACAAGTTAATAGGTAACTTTGTAGTAAATAACGATAAAAGTTATTAATAAATAATTCTGGTATTAAGTTAAGGGACTGGTATTCATACACCCCAGAAAAATAAAAAAATAAAAATTTTAAACTTCGAACAAATATATCTCAACAACCACATGACCAATCTCAATGAAGTTTTTTTTATTTAAATTCTACAGGTTTGTAGAATTCAAATAAAAAATATATATATTGAATTTTTTATGCGGTTGTCGAGATATCTTCGCTCAAAGAAAAATCGGAATGTCTATCAAAATAGAAGCTGTACCAAATTATTTTTTTAAAACTTTAAGCAAAGATATCTTGATTATTACTTGATCAAACTCGATTAAATTTTTTTTATTTGAATTCTACATGTTCGTAGAATTCAAACAAAAAAAACCATCAAATTTGGTCATGTGGTCATTGAGATATCTTCACTCCAAGTCAAAGAAAAATTGGAATGTATATCAAAATAGAAGCTGTATCAAATTATTTTTAAACTTTAAGCGAAGATATCTCGATGACCACGTGATCAAACTCGATGGAATTTTTTTTATTTGAATTCTATGGATCCGTAGGATTCAACAAAAAAAAAATTATCGAAATTGGTCATGTGGTCATCGAGATATCTTCGCTCAAAGTTTAAAAATAATTTGGTATAGCTTCTATTTTTGATTTTCTTTGACTTTGAGTGAAGATATCTCAACAACTACATGACCAAATTCGATACATTTTTTTATTTGGATTCTACGAACCTGTAGAATTCAAATAAAAAAAAATTCATTGAGATTGACCAGATGATTGTTGAATTTTTTTATATTTTTCTGGAGGGTATGAATACCAAATGAATACCAGCTCCCTCAAGTTATAATCAATTACTGTATTAAATTATAATCGATTAAAAATATTTGATGCATTATAGTTTTCTAAAATGTCTCAAGTGATTCAAGTGATTCCAATTTTCTAAGAAATTGATCTACGAATATGATTACAGAATTAGATATTGGCTGCATCGTTAAATGATAATTACATCATTGAGTGATGGTCACATAATGCTAGGCACATGGAACACTAAAATTTGGGTACGAGTAACATGCCAATCGGATGTAAGGGGTTAGCACATTATGACTATCGTATTGCGGGATATCCTTATGCCAAGAAAATTCCTTCGGCCAAGAACCTACTTTAGGTATGTATTTTATCTATATATTATATCATAATTAAAATTTCATGCTGAAAACTTGAAGGTCGAAAGTTGGTTATTATAGTTAAGCTTGAGTTATTTACAAATTCTTAGTGCCTTATTCTTTCTATTAGTGTTTCAAGTTACATTGTTTAGTCTATTGGCTAAAGCTGTTTACTTGTCGGAATATTCTAAAAATATAACATTAATCATTGTTGCGAAACTATTACCGTTGCTACTAAAAGTCTTACTCAGTCACATGATTTCCGACCTTCTGATTCTCCGGAATATTGTTTTCGAAAATTTTTCAAAGTTATTTTTCGTGCTCTTACTAATCCTTTATTATTATTATTTTGTGTACCACCGAATTGTTACGAAATAACTATTGGGTCGTTATTTCGAGACACAATTTCCAGAGCTAAGAATCAATTTTAACGATTTTAAAAAAATTAATTCATCGTTTGTATTTGTCAAAATTAATTATTAGCTCTGGAAATTGTGTACTTTAGAATAACGCCCAGGCGTAATTTCACATCAATATAGTAAAGGGAAGCTTTCATAATTGTTATTTAAGAGACAAAACCATATTATTGGTCCAGAACAAATCATTAAATATATTCTAAACATGGACTTAATTACTGAATAATAATCATAAACAGATTTAAAATGAATTGTTAAATTTAAATGGTGTACAAATGACATCGATATACAAAATCCACACTTTTCGAACTCAACCAATATAAATTAATATTTCATGTTTTTATATTCAGGATTCATTATAAAAGTTAATTATACCAAGCTTTGGCTATAAACGAATCTGCATTCATAAACTAAATTAGCACAAATAAATAATTCAATAGAAGTTATAAAATATTGTAGAGATCTAAAACAAACTCAACTAATACAAACTTAAAATTTCACGCTCATCATGTTCAGGGATCATTATAAAGTAGTAAGCTTCGATTTTAATTGAATTTATAGACAAATATGAATTCAATAGAAGCTATAAAAGACTGTAAAGTTTTAAAATATATTTATAATTTAAATAACGAAAAAAGCAAGTCTTTCAAAATACAGTTCACATTTGTTATAGTGAGTCCTTGATATAATAGACAAGTTTTGTAAAGTATATTTAGTCTTAATATAAGTCACAAGAGGATTTTTTCAAACCTGAGGACTTCACTATAAGGTGAGTTGTAGTCATTTGTTTACTATATTTTCTTGTGCTTCTATATATGAAATCATCATTATTTTGTGATAAAATATGAGGTAAAAATGAATAGAAAAAAAAATAGTATTTAGTTTTTTAAAATTAACTGTCAGTTTTTATAGTAAAGTTTTTTATAAAAATAATTTATTATGTTTCTATACCAACTCTATAAATTTATTAAAAAAAATTCTTATTAAGTAAATTTATTATAAGAAGTTTTGATATAAGGATAGTTGGTTGTTTATATTGTATAGATAAATAAAATTAGAAGGTTAGATTATTATATAACAGTGTTTTTAATTGTTAGTAATACTTAATTTAGTTATAATTTTTTTTTTTAATATTAATGATAAGGTCATGCTTTTATCTTTATTGAATATTTTCTGGACCAACTCACTACCTATGACAATTTATATCTATTGCATTGGCAACATATCTCACCTAGAATTAACAAAATTCTAAAAGGTATTATATCACAATAGTTTACTACTCTTGAGGACATTATTACAAGTCACTCTTATGAATATATTCTTTATGATCATTATAATCTATCTTTCATAAACTATTTTTGTTACTCTACTAGTCATTTTATTTTTAATACTAAACCTTGGTTACTCACTGTTCTTAATAATCAAATAATTATTATTAAGATTAGAAGACATAATACATCTACTGGCCTTACTTTCATTAATCACTAGCACTGCTCATTCCATTCTTAGTTCTCTAATCTTTATCCTATTTCTCCTTCTATCATCACATTATATACTAGATATCATTTTAATTCAAATATAATTGTTAACAAATGTACTATCTTTATTCCTACTAACTTGATTACTAAGCTACTTTGTTATATCAATTCTGACAAAACTCTCAATCTTTATATAAATTTTCTTGATATTATATACTCAGTTGTCTTTTGACATTCTTTATATATTTCATCTCTTTCTTCATTTACAATTAATTTACAACAACTACCTCCTATCTTTGAAATATGTCAACTTATTAATAACTTTTAAACTATTGCTAATTCAAACTACAATCTATCATCTATTTCATTTTATACTGATGGTTCTGTTATCGATCTTGGTATCTCACAGTGCTCTATGGACATAGATTGGATTCAAGTTGATAACTTTATAATTATTAATTTATTTTAGGCACAAGTTAAACTGTGGCCATGCTTCTTCAAAGTTGAAATTCTTATTATCCTTTTAACAAGTATTATTGCTCCTAAACATTGCTCAGTTCACATATTTACTGATTCACAATTAGTAATCTCCAAATACTATAATATTTGCTAATTAGTATCTATTCTTTCTAATATTCATATTCTATCTTTTTCTATCTGACAAATACTTATTAACTTTATTAAGTCTTATAAAATTTAACTTATTTTTACAAAGTTATTATACACCAAGATGATCATTTAATAACCTTGCTGATCAACTTACTCATAATCACCAAATATTATCTTACCTAATATTCTTAATTAACAATCCTTATAACCTCAACTATACTGTTTTTATTAATAAATTTCCTATTGAAATTTCTATTCGATGCTCTATTTAAACTATATGTCAAGTTCACATCATATCACTTTGGACATCTCAACATTGTTTTCAATAATAGTCTATCATTATATCTAATATTAATTGGGAAGCTATATGGCTTTATATTAACAACAATCAAAAATTTTCTAATTTTGTTAACAACTTTTATTCATCTATTCTGAAAACTTTTTAAATTAAAATTCTTATAAATGAACTTTCTATTCTTCATATTCTTTATAAACATAACTCTTTATTTTCTTCCTTCTGTCATCAATGTAACTAAACCAGCTCCTTATTTCATTGAGCTATCTGCCCATTAACTCAAACAATTTATCACTTAATCTCTAATTTTCT